TTATGGCCACATTTGAAAACAGGACCTCATTTTCCAAATGCATATATTTGAGTGCATTATTCAAGTTCTATTACTTAGGCATAGGGAACAGAACAAACATACAATTTCACTTCTGCAAATGGGTTATTTATGTGCATATTCAACCATTTATACATACAGATATTAGAGTGTGAAAAAGCATCTGCAAAAGAAAACTGGTGAGGACCCTTTAAAGAACAAGTCTCTAAATGCAATCTATAATGAATTCTTATTTGTGTGTCACAGTTTGCTTTTCCATGTATTTTAATAAAAACTCCGCAACTACAGTACATATGGAATCTCATAATCTCCACTACGTTTGTTCTCCTGAAAATACTAAAGGTAGGGAATGCCTCATGAGTAGTCCCATTTCATAAAGAGGGAAAGAAGAAAAATAGATATGTAGTGACGTCCCTTAGAAGCCTGTTGCAGAAGAGGGATTCCCCGTGCATCTCTTGAGATCAAATGAAGCACTTTACTCAACGGATTATTATTCTTCCTTTGGACTACATTTCACTTATATTTTTCTCCTCATATTTAGCATTTCAATTTTGGGTGAAAATTAATGACTAAATAACAATATGTTGGTTGAGTTTTATAGCAAGTTCAGCATTATAAATATGAAAGCGCTTTTCTCCGTTTTGATTTTTTTAGCTCTGACACTGACATTCAATATGCCAGATTATTAAATACGCCTGCATTAAAAATTTCCTACATCTTATATCATTTACTCCCACGCTACATGTTAATTGTGATTGATTTTTATTTTTCAGATAATTCATGATTCTAGAATATTTTCATATGCCTTAATTATTCTCCACTTCTTTTTATATCTGCAGTCGTCTTGTTCACTTGATCTTGTGATCTGGATTTTCTCTGTCACAGGTTAAGCAGATGAAAGAGAGAAAATTTAGATTTTCTTTTTCTGGATTTTTCAAGAAACAGTTCCTCAGCTGTTGTGACATCCGTGCCTAGATGCATGCTAAACTTTTACCAATAATCATGAGCAAGGATGAAATGTTTCTTTTCAGCTGCAGCACTTGCCTCTCTATGAATTGTTCTGTTTTGAAAAAAATCATTTTATGTCAGCTTCCTGTGTACTACATAGAATCTGGACATAATCCTCAACTCAGTCTTTTCATTCAATGCGCATATTGATTTTACCACTAAGATGCATGTCAGCTGCATTTTTAAAACATTTGGAGACTCTATGTTTACTTAACAGGTGACCCAGCTAACTCTCTAGTGCTTACTCGGGCTCTTTCCCAACTTAATTTCTATAAGGGTAGCTTTGCTGGTGTCAGCTTGTTCCATATTAACCACACACTGTGAGGACTTACGAGATTTGCTCTTTTGTTAACCACATTCACCTCAATGGCACCGCTTTCAGTGGGCTCTGAAAAAAGCCCCAAAACAATAAACAGTTACCAGTATAGCATTAAAGTTGGAGTGAGGCACAATTTAGACTGAAGCTGCCTTTATTTAGCTTGCATTTCCATTTTGAATTTTTGAACTGTAAAGTTTTTTCTGTGCACCTAAGCCAACTGCCAACTCAGAAGCATGCAAACAATTCAAAGACATGCAGGAGGCACCCAAACTCCACCTAAATTCCTGCACGGGCCTGATCCACCAGACATCTCAGGACACCAATAATTTTCAGCTCAGGAAATTCCTGAATCAAAGGCTTGTTTTAGCTTCCAAGGATTTTTTTTTTCCTATAAATTGTCAAGTTTCTTTCTGAAATCACTTAAAATGTTAGCATCTACAACATCCGCTGGTACGGAATTCTACAATTCAACTCCGCATTATGTGAAAAATCACATTCTTTTGTTTTCAGTTTTCCACTTGCTAGGTGTATTTAGAAACTCTAGCTCTCAGTTGAGAGAATTAAAAAAAATTAAGCTAGGAAATGAATGCTCTTCATTTGCATTACTCACTGAAAATTCTGTGCAGTTCAACAGAACAGATATATGGTGTGTAGCCACCCAGTAATGACCTAACCAGGAAGCAACATGCTCTGCCCAGTAAACCATTACACGAGATGGGTGTCAGCAACATCACCCTGAATAGAGCTGGCTGTGACTTCTGCCCTTTCTGAATGATACCTGCATATGGAAATTATAACAGAAGCATATATATCAAAATGGGGGGGGGGGTGGCAGTTTGGCTTAAAGTATTTCATAATGGATCCTCTCCATTAGCCCTTTTTTAAAACACATCGGTAGGGCTCAGGGTATACAACATTATGCTTCTATGACTACAAAGAATGTCAGTAGAAACACTGATGCAGAAACTATATAAAACAATAATTTCTATTTTGGTAGGAGATCTCTTGAACACAAGTTCTTCAGAATTCTTCTCCTGCTGGCAATATGATGCTCACTTATCAAAACTAACCATGGTATAAGAGCAAAAATAGATGAGGGAATTCAAGTTTGATGAGTTGCAATGTCTAGCTGAAATCTGTGTCCTTTGGTTTTTATGGTGGAAAGACTGAGCTAATCAAAGTGGAAAAGATGATGAGCTGATAAGAGACGTAAGACAATAGCGACAACCTCTCCTGACAGGACTGAGAATTTTATTCTGATGTGCGCTTTACAGGATGTGCATGCATTTCTCATCAGAGGAGAAATGTTCAATCCTAACCACAAACAACCCATAGCAGTTTCAGCGATAACCACGTGATATACAACATACGTGAAGAAAGCGGTGGTTAGACAGAAAACGTCAATGAACTGTACTTGCAAAATGTTATCTTTCTGTATAAACTTATGTCTGTTTTGAGGCTTGCGGGTTTTTGACTGACTTCAACAAATAAAAAAGCCATTGATGCCATTTATGCTGTTACTTTTGTCTGCTCGATGCTTCTAAAAGTTGACTTTTCCTTTCTGTCCCAAAAAGGTAAATCACTTCTATGCACTTATTCATCTTGCTTGGAACAATACAATCTTCTTCTTCACGTTCTTTTCATACTACCATTGTCATATCTACATATTCCACACTGCCAAAAAGCTAAAACAGATGTCCCCTGGTCTTTTCTTCTGCATTTCCTGCCAAAAAGCTACGGTGGGTGCCTTCTTTGTCTTTTCTTATGCATTTTCTGCTTTGTAGCTACCTTGCACAAGAGTCTTCTTGCCTTTGCTATTGACGCCCAATATCAGGCCACCCTTTCTACTTACCTGAAGCGTGTTTCTATGTGCACCCCACCCTCACCATTTTATCAGCTATAGCAGTTTCAGCTCCTCTTAATCTTTACCTCTCATAGATGTTGCTGTTTTCCTCCATAAAACCCTTTTTTTTTTTTTTTTTTGCAACATTTACAGCTCTTCCAAGTTTGTCTACCAGCAGTCACAGTTACCTTACTACAATTCCGTTCCAAAACTGACTTCTGCTGTCGGTAGAACAAGGGAGGAAAAGACTGCTTCAACTTTAGATCCAGCAAAAAGCCAAGACTATCAAGAAGTATTAAAGTTTTGTGACGTAACATTGACATTGTCGACATTGTCGTCCCCTTGTCCTTTTGTTCATTATCTGATTTCATTATCTCCTCAGTTTATAATCCTTGCTTATGTTAGATTGAGATTATGTTTTCTGAGGCAAGGATCACAATTTAACTTGCTTGTGAGAAATCTGGTTCATTTCTTGGAACATGAAACATTAATTACATTCTCATCTATACTACTAAAAAAGTACCAAGTAACAAACACTGTTTTCCTATGTTTTGTCTTATTTATTACTCCATACTGCCTAAACTGGGAGAAACACTGTACCTTTCTAAGCACAGTTCGAAATCTGTCTGTTCTACAAAGTTCAAACTAATTTGCAACTCAGTATATCAACAATTAGTAAATGTTGTGCTACCTGACTCTCTGCTGTAGAGATGGAGTGCTAAGGTTCACACTTCTAAAATCACTGCATGTATAAAGCTAAACAGCTGTCCAGTTGTTCTATTCCTGTCACTTTCTGATATATTCTCCATCATTAAATTTGGTTGCTTACTCATTCTGAAACACTTAAGGATAAGGTTTTCAAAAATGATCGATTTTGATTTATCTGTTAAAGCTTCTGTTAATTTTAACAGGAATAACTAGGTCAACGTTGAATGCTTTCGAGATGCACTGCGGTGTTTTAGCTGTTTCAGTTAATGATTGTCTACATTATATTGCCATATTTAGTTTCAATTTATTTTTCAGTTACAGTTCTGTGCTGTCTGGGGAAAATGCACTAAGTTTGTGCACGTGTGTGTATATTTATATGCACGTATATGCATATTTATGTGTGTGTGCGCATGTATATTTGTACAAGTAGAAATAATGCTTTCCAACCTATTTGCAGATTTGAAAATGGTATACCTAACATAGCTTTTCCTTCATCTTCCAGCTCAAATCGAAGAGTCTGAAGTTCCTGTTCCATCTCCAGTTTGAAGCCTTCCATGGCTTGTTTATGTGTTTCTTTCAGTGCCTGAAGTTCTTCAGAATGCTTTTGCTGTAAACGCTCTTCTAACTCCTATGAAATCCAAAAGGAGAAGATTAATTATATACCAGCTAAGGGAATTTATAAAATATTAAACAACAAATCAACGGCAACAAAAATTAGGCACTGGCATACTCTAGAAATCATTAAAAATGCATTTCTATTGCTCATATTTTCTTCACTCACTAGATTATCATACTACTATATTTTTTTCTTTTCCATGGCTGACGGGTATCAAGATAACCTGAGTACAAAAAAACAAGGACTGTGTTCTGCTCACAGCTGGAAAATAGAGAAGAACAATCTATGGCTACGTCTACAGTAGCAAGCGATGTAGCTCAACAAGAGCAGATCCATGCAGGGGCCTAGTGCATGCTATACACATTTGGTGGGGAGGGTTACTCTCCATTTAAGTGCACTAAGCTTAATGCTGCTGGAGCACATCTTCTGATTCCATTTCAAACATAGCAAATTCAACTTGTGTGCCCCAAAACCACTCTGATGTGAACCAAAGCGCAACCAAAGCACAGTAAGTGGGAACAGCTGGGAAATTTATCGCGAAAGTACACTCTTGATCTGAACTAAAAATCTATTGACACACACCCTATGCAGTATCATGCACTGCCAGAATTTCAATTTCAAAGCAGGCTTAGTCAAGGTTTGAACAAAATATCTTCTGGACATGAAAATTACATTGCAAGCTGCAAAACACAGTTTATATGATTTTAAACATAATGAAAATATAAAATACATTACTAAAATAGTCAGTTGACAGGAACCATCGGAAAACATGAGAAATTAGGTACATATAATCAAAAATACAAATAAACTTATTTCAGATCAATCTTCGAATTGATGCTATAGATAACAATCTCAAACTATTGTAATGAAGTGCGTGTGTGTATGTGTGTGTGTTGATAATCATTACATATATCAACACAATAGTGGAGTATAAAGCAAGATGCTAATTAATGCCAACTTAAAGAGATTTAACTGAATAACATTATTAAAAATACATAATCTGAAAAGGAAATGTAGTAGTTATGCAAATACTTCTCTTTACTAATTTTCACTGTGTGCATAATGGCTAAAATTGTGACATTCTCTACCTAATTTGGAATATTCATACGAACATGCCTTTTGCTCTTGTTCTTTTGTTTCTTCCATATTTTGAAACGCAAGTATGTGCGCTTCTTGGAGGGACTTATGCCTTTGCTGATGCTCTTCCTCTAATTCCTGGATCTCCTGAGTCAGCCTCTGTCGTTCCTGACTGAATTGGGCTTGTAGCTGTTGCAAAGAGCTCTGAGACTGGGAAAGCTGCATCTCCAGATTTTGCTTCAGCAATGAGATCTAACCCATAAAACAATAAATATCAATTAGTCATTACCACTAACATCAATTCTGAAAAAAACATTCAAAAGGAGAAAAGAAATTGAAACTTTAAATCCAGCATATTACCTAAAATAGGGACAAGCAATGTCGTTCATCTACCAAATTGGTTTTTAATATTGTATCTCAGGGATACAATCACTACATTGGAATAATTTTGTAAGAGTTTTCCTATAAGTCCATAGTATAGTACTACCTTTAACACTGCTGCTATTTCATGGCCAAATTAAGTTATCAAAATTTACTTCTAGGTCTGGGATAAAAATAATAAAAATGACACTATCAAGGGCTAAGGTCAAACATTTGATTTGTTAAAATAAACCATTATTCAGGGGAAGATCATGTTAATTCTGTACAGAAAATCCTGCACTTGTTAGGTGAGATAGCCCGCAACATCCAGACTGAAGGATTTTTCTATCTGTTGATATGATATGGTCCTATCTTACTGGTAGCTGTCCGATTTAAAAAGAAGAGTAAAACATACTACATTGCAAATAAAATATAGCACATTATGGAGCCTTTTTTATTAGCTCATGGGAGCAACTTTTCTGCTGACTTTCAACTAACATCAAAGCACACAAATACTCATTTTCTTAGAAATATCTGATATTACCAATGTCAATAATAGTCCAACAAACATTTTAATATATTAGAGTACACTGCACTCCTTGAAAGAGTCCTGTTTTCTTTTTATTATAACGTTATACTCTGTTCTGCACATTAGATAGGCATCTTTTCAGACAGAAGATGCTAAGCATGTTTTCCCTTTGGAACCAAATAAGAATGAGGTACCCTTCAACTCTGGAAACAAGATTTTGCCAAAAAAAAGAATTTTGCTACAGCGACTCACCGGAAGAAAAATGAAATTGCCATGAGACAAAGGATTTGAATGAGAAAGAGTATTTTTCAAGCCTCAGAAGATTACATGCAATTGGATTATAAAAAAAGTTTGATAGTGTCATTTGATTTAGTACATCTTAAAATTAATTATGACAAATTAATAAAGACATTGCACATCAGTATATTGAATTATAAAGCATTAAATCTCACCACTTAACAAAAAAATCAATAGCAGCATATTAAAGACAACTTGCAGCACGAACATTACTGTTGAACATATTTCTTTCAGGACACAGCTTAAGCAGTTTTGAAAGGAAAGAAGCTACATTTAAAGTAAAATTTGCACTAAGACAAAACAAGCAAATTAAGTTGAATGAAATGACCATGGCCAGTTGCATTTAGAATTTGCCAGGTTCATGTGTTTGTACACATCCACACTACTTTCTAAGCATACTGTAACAACAGCAACTTACTTCAAGTACCCTTGAAGGAGATTTAACTATAACTGAAGGATTATAGTGAAGACTTGCACTACATTCTACAATCTAAACTATACATGGAAAACCTTTTACGGAGTACATTTAATATTAACGTTACAAACAAATTGTACAATGTCAGACCAAAGGTTTGTTTAATGTAGTATTCTGCCTCCAGAAATGGCCAACATGTCCCAACAGGGAAAATACAAGGACAAGGCATACATCTAGGGATGCTGACTCCAAAGTCTCCTAGCACCCAGCAACCTTTCTTAAACCAGAAGAGGTATTTTTGGACAAATTCATGGTAGAAAAATCCATTAAATATTGTCACTATTTGAATCCATGTAAACTTTTAGCCTCCACAACACCTTGTGTTAAGTCCCACAGCTTCAATACACGTGCCAATTTTGTAGGATGCCCTCTACTACTTCTAACCAAAGAGTCAAAAGAAGTTCCCTTTTCATTCACCCCATTCTACTCATACTTTTGTAGATCTCCATCATATCCCTCCTTACTCTTCCACACTGAGCAGTTTTGGCCTACTGAGTCACTCCTTGTATGGAAGTCATTTCATATCCATCATCAGCCTTCTCCTACTTTTTCTCCCTTTTTCTACTATTTGCTTTTAAAGATTAGGAGACCAGAACAGCATATAGTACCCAAGATGAGCGTAAACTGTGGTTTTATATAGTGGTATGGTTTCAGGTGTTACGTTCTCTGTTCCTCCCCTTTAATCCTAGCGTACTATTTGCTTTAGTGACTGCTACTGAGCACTGAGTTATATTTTCATGGAGTTATACCCATAACCCCCAAATCTGATCTCTTCAGTTGTAACGGTCAAGTCAAGGCCCATAATTTATACAAGAAGTTAACATTCTTTTTCTTGTGTACCACTTATTTTTCTACACAGAATTTCATCTACCACTTTGCTGCCGAGTCCCTTGGCTTTTTACAGCTTTCCACAATTCTTCAACCAGCCTTTATCCTGCCTACCCTGAATATCCTAGTATGAACTGCAAGCTTTCCCAACTTACTTACTCACAAACAACCTGCAAAAAGAAACTACATCAGTAGAATTCCACTGATGATCTACCTTCACTATGGTAACACTGCACTTAATTCCTATCATTCAATCAGTTGCTTATCCATGTAAAAATTGCCCTCTCATATATATCATGGAGTTTTAATTTCCTCAAAAGCTTCAGAGGGATGACTTTGGCAAAAGCCTTTTGGAAAACCAAGTAGATTATATCAACCACATCACCCTTACCTAGATTTTTATTGATCTCTTCAAAAAAACTGCTGTAAATTCTAAGGTAGGGTTTCCCTTCTCAAAATCTATTTTAAGTCTTCCCAAATAGATCATGGTGCCTGCAAATTCTATCTTTGTTAAAGATTCCGTGAGTTTATCTTGCAAGCTTATCTTGTAAGCTTATTTTGCTTAGAGGCCTGTCATTCCTCAGATCCCCTTTGGAGACTTTAGAAATATTGTCATCCTACTTGTCCACACATCAATCCTTATGAATCATTGCAGATATAAGTGAGTAACTATATACTGGGGTTTGTGTGCAAAAGGATCTTCAGAATGAAATTCTTGGGTAAATAGACAAGTACTGACTATTCGTTTTGGTTCATTTTGTTAGTTTGTTCCATACCATCTTTTACAGTCTCTCTTAATTTCACAGGAGTCCTGCAATGGGTACGATGAAGGGCTCCAATGTGCTAAATGCTCCAGTTTTTTCTACCCTGAATACCAATGCAAAAATATTAATTTAGCTTCTCTGGAGTGGTACTATCATCTATCAGTGCTCCTTTTATATCCTGTTTATTTATTGCCCTACAGACACTCTGTCAGGCTTCCCTGCTCTGGATGTGTTTGAATAAAGTATTAAATAATTTTGACACCTTTTGCTAGCTGTTCCTCAAATGTTTTTAGTCTCTTTTGTGTTTTGATGTTTAACCTAATATAGCTTCTGACCCTTTCTATGTTCTTTAAGCACACACTGCTTGAGTTTTCTGACATTTTATTTCTTATTTCTAACCCTTACCTTGCTGCTTAGCAATGCTAATTCCCTGATGACATTTCTCAACCCCATTTTTAATAAATGTATTAGCACAGTGCTTTGGATTTGATATCTTTAAGTAGCCTCTATGCCACCTGTAAGGAATAAATTTTCTAACCTGCCCCTTTTATCTTAAAAGAAAACATCAACAACAACAACAGAAATTTATGATTTCTCTTGTTATATAACTCCTCTTTCAGAAGCCAAGCACAGTTTTGGTGGATATTTGTTTTTTGTAACAAAAAAAAAAACACCACAAGGGCAAGTACATCAAGGTTGCTTAAGGCTCGTCAAGGTGAGAAATCAGCACTGTAAGCTCTCAAGCCAGGTGCTCCACAAAAAATAATTCATAGTCTCAAAAATGTAGTCTTTAGGATATATCTTGATGTAGCTAGTATTTGCCTACTCTAGTGGGAGTAACTGAATTTCTCTGTTACTCCTGTACTTCCTATCCACACTGTTTCTTGAATCCTTCCAGCATATCGTAGCTATAGTTGCCATCCTGGTCAGACGAGCCACATATTGTATTCTTTCTCTTCTACCTTGGAATTTCAATCCATTGATGAGGTCAGTTTGCACCATACCACTGCCAGCACAGCCAACTCTGTATTTGCGTGTATATTTTACAATCTGGTATTACAATGTACTATTTATTGTCTTTCTCCAGAACAAATATATCTTACCTAAACTCACCTATGATCCCCTCTTATTTCCGTCTACTCTTACGTACCCTGCATTTACTGTAGGCCCTTGTCTCTTTCCCCCTATTTTCATAACCTCATACCGACATGGGTCTTTTTCATCTGTAAGCCTTACCTTACCCTGATTTCCTGTTTCTCTGCCACACTGCACCTACCAAAGAACAGACCCTGCCTGGAGGTCTTTTTTTTTTTTTTTCCTTTTTCTTCTGTGCCTTTATGTAATTCTAATGCTTTTTTAGATTACCTCATTACCTCTGCTCCTACTTAACCATCATCTATAAACTCCCAATATATCTTGTGTTTCCCTAAGGTCACTATTGCAACTTGGCTCTAGCCCTTCTATTCCTTGTCCTAGGTTCATCCTATATTCCAGCAGCAATTCTCCCTTTACTCTCCTCCTTTGCTCTTTTCTTCTTCCTAATACCGCTTGTAGTATCATAGGAAAATATAGCTAAGATAATCTGATGAGATTTAGTCCAGCTCTTTGCACGAGGCTGGACCACGTACAAATTACAGCTTAAAAAATTCATATGAAGGAAATTCCACAATCTGCACTCAGATCCTCTTCTTCCTCTCCACTGAGTGCCTGCGGCAGAAACAGTAAGATAGCGGAAAGATGTTCTGCCCACTCTCACTTGTCCCTCTCGCCATGTCTCTGTCACTCAGTGTATTTTTTATTTTTTTTTGCTTCAGGTTAAATCTCTCTCTCACTTAAGTTCTTGTTCCAAATTCTAATAATTCTCACTGTATCATTTACAAGCATTTTTAGCACGGGCAAAACAATTCTCTTTTAATATAAGTCCTGGAAACGTAGAAAACATTTTAACAATGTTTTTTAGAAGTCTGACATCTAGCCAGGCAGCCGTCTTAGAAGATGACAGAGATCAGGAATATCCTTCGCAAGAGCAGATCAGACTTCCACCAGGTTAAAGTAACTGAAAAAAACACAGCCTGAAATAAGTCAATCTCACAAGATGCCTACGTTGCATCAACGGCCTATACAGCAAGCATGGCATGATGATGCTTATATGACTTCAGTAACCAAGTCAGATGTCTAATCTCCCATTCTAATCATGAGAATTTCTTCTGTTGAAAGTACATCATGCATAAAAATCTGCAAAGTTATTTTTAAAGGGAAAACAAAATTTTAAGCATTATTTTGATTATACAATATGTATATTCATATTGCTAAGAGGACATTTTTGAAAATATTAGTGCTTCCCTTTGCATGCCTTTGGACCTTCCCTTCCCATTACTCCTATGCAGAGGATTTAAATGAAAATACCTAGTTCTAAACACTATCCTCTGAACCTCCGGTACTCTTATCTAAGGTTTTCAGCAAATTCAAAATATTAATATTTAAAAAAATAAGAGTATTTCAGCTACAATTATGACTCACACTGCAAAACTGCAAATTATAATACAGCTTCAATCATTCAATGCATTCAATGCTCTGCAATACACATTTGCACTGCCCACAAGCTTGCTTTAACAATGACATAAAAATGCTGCTTATATTATGACCACGAATGTAGTGCTTGATGTTCAGTGATACACACATTCACACAGACGAATGGATGCAGTACAGAAGCTTTTGATAAATAGCAGCAAACATGTTCTCTCAAATATTATGATGTATTCAATTTTATAGGCTAAAGCTTTAAAGCAGTATTACAGGATATGCAGATCTAGTAGTGCAAACATGCCCTTTACAAGCTGTAAGTGAAAATCACTTACATTGCTGATAGATTTATGCAAAGCTTCACCGAGACTGTGCCGCTATGAAGAAAAGATCACAGGAATAAAGGGAAACATTCAGAAATCAACTAAGTAAAAGAAAAAGGGATAAGGAAGGAAGAGTAAAACATAGAACATTAATTATAATTTGACCAGGGAAAAATAAGTTGAAGACTATCTGGATAAAACATTAAATGAATACTTTGCTTTGACTTAGCATATGAACTAGTGAACACAGAACAGAACGAAGTATTTTCTTGTGTTATATTTTGAATGTACAAGACAGCACTATCTCTTCAATATAATATTGTAATATACTTCTATATTATGCAACTGAACATTTTTTAAATTCTCCCATTGTTTTCTCTTCACCTTTATGGAAAATAATTTGAGGGAAAAGTCATTAAGAACATCAAGTTGCATTACTGTTAGAAAAGCCATACATAAAAGAATCAATGATCAGCTGTCTCTCTGAAATATCACAAGCATATTAAACATTTAAAATATTAAAAATCAAATGTCACTGCTAAAAGGAAGAGATGAAGTTTAGTCTCAAATGAAGTAATATCTACGTTAAAATACTTTTTTGTTTTTCTAAGATTTCAGAATGAGATGGGAACGTGAAAGACTTTCTGCAATTTCCTACCAAAAAATTAGGTATTGTACCACTTTATACTAGTGTTGATTGCTAACAATAATAAGCAAAAACAAAAACAAATTTTCAAGTAGATGGTCTATATCAAATATTACTGACCATATGTAAAATTCATATAGATGGACAGCTAGATACACACGCGCACACACATGCATGCGTAACAGAGTCATCAGAAATGAAGAAAGAGCAATATAAAATCCAGCATGACCAATTTCTCCTTTTGGCATACATCAGTCAAGAAGATGGCTTTCTCAGGGAGACAGTAGATATTTTTACATCAGCTTGGAAAACTTCACCTGGGAATTTTTAGATGATACTTTGTCAAAATACTAAAAGAAGAAAATATTATTCTTCCTCCTGAATTTATGAAATGATTAACATAAAAATAAATTATAATGGAAAATTCTAAATTATTTTATTAAAATTGTAAAAGTGTTAACAAGCAACAATTTTCTACTCATGAGAGTAACACTAAGAGGCATCATACTGCAGCACACAAGAGAACAGACTAGCATGTAACAGCTCTGATTTCTACTTCCAATTTTGCCAATGTTAGCCTAAGCAAATCTGTCTACTTCTCTGTGATTCCTTTCCTGTCCGTCTTGGTTTATTTAGTCTGGAAGCTACTGAGAGCATGGATGATCTCTTATTAAATAAATGTTTCTTTTCCAGAATGGCTAGGACTTAATTTTGACATTGGGCATTACTGTATTATGACAAACAAATATTTATCAAAGGTATTTAGATTTACAATCTCAAATAGAAAGGTTAGTAAAGCCTACAATGAAAAGAAATTCCAAGTAAAAATACTTTTTGGAAGCTATATTCTGAGTTCTGAGAGCTGCCCCCTGCTGCTTGCAGACTAATGGAGGTTTCTTTCACCAAGGCACTGTATAGAAATAAGGAACAAACAATAGCTGCTGTCAAAACAGCCTTATGACTGATAGAACTAAGATGGGCTAACCATTTTAATATATGATTCCACCAAGTTTAAAAGTTTTCCAGAGATATGGAAAACAGATCGAAGATATATGAACTTTTGATTAAGATTCTGGACTACAACTCTGCAGTAAAGTTCAATTTTCAGATTTGTCACAGATTTCTTATGTTACCTGACTCCAAGTAATTTCTCTGCGGCCCACGTTTCCTAACTATGAAATGAGATTAATAATTATCTTAAAAAGATTAACTATGAGATGCTCGAATATTATAGTGCTGTAAAGACAACTGACATGGACACTCCCCACCACCTCCTGTCCCAAGTCATTTTTTAATAAAGTTGAGCTTTTATACTTAACATTCCTAGGTGTTCTGAAGGACATGCAGGAGTACTGAACATACAGTAAACATAGCTTATTGATTTTTAACAAAACTTGAAATACATATGTAGTTTACAAATTCAGAAGTCCCCATATCATACCACTGTTCAAAAGCCTTTAATTATAGGAGAGCGAGCCAAACATTAGTATTTGGAAAAGAATGGAAAAGATGATCCAGGATTCAATCAAGAAAGACTTTAAGTGTGAAAATACGATGATTTTCAGTCAATATGGCAATGGGAAAGAGGCATGCTAAAGAAAACCTGACTTCTTGCTTCGACAAGACTACGGTCTTGAGCAATAAATGCTACTGTACAGAAATAGCACTTAAGACTTTATCATACTTATTATCACACGAGATTTTGATTTAAATATGTGTACCTATACAATTTTAGTAAAATATACTTTAAAAGATTAAAACCAACCTATTTACAAATCTCAAAAACTGCTGATGGTTAATCACAGGGATTCAGCATCATCCATTATTAGGAAGTAAATAAAAGATTTTGATAGAATATATGCATCATAGATTAGTAAACAATAATTATGTAGTGCAGTCAACTGGCACGAGGGGGCTAATTTTAACAAAATATGTAGCAATACAAACAGCTGCTGCTCCTTATTAAAAATAATGTGGGACATATTTAAAATGGAGAACTCCAAAATAATCTAGTCTGCCTGAAATTATTATTAAGATATGGAGGAAGACTGGTATTCTTCCTTCATGTTTTAAAGTCTCTACCAAAAAAGAGCAGAGTTTTCTCTACTTAAAAAAACACAGTTGGGCTAGTTTCTGTCATAATAAAATACAGATTCAGAGATTTGAAACTCTGTTCATGCTTTGGGGTTGCTTACTTTAATACAGTTGCTGGTAGACTCATCACAATGACTGTAACAGGGATCATACTCATGACCGTATTACAGTATTTTCCTTAAGAAGGGAGATAATAGTACCACTGACATTTTCACTCAGCTGCGTTGTTTCCTGCAAGATGTTAGGTTACTGGATGCATGGATAGTTCTATCAATTTATTCTCTCTCGGCTAAAAGTTACCTTCAATAACGTTAAAGAGGCTTGACACTAAAATTCAGCATAAATCTTCACATCATTCAAAGATCAGTTACATGACTCTCTCACTGTGCTTCCCACAGATATTTTAATGTCATATTGTTTCAATATCTGACTTTGGTATACAGCTTACTGAGTTTTCAAAACACTGCCAGCAGCAGAGATTCTTGTGCTAAGCCCTGAGATCCTAGGTGGGGAGGAGCAATCTGTTGTATCAAGAGCAGATCTTTATTACTACACAGCCCTCACCTTTTTTTAAGAGGGAACTCCAGTAAGATGCTGCAAACCTTTCTGAAGGGGAAAACCTATGTGCATCCATCAGATGTTAGTAAAACAGAACAGTTTGAGATGCTTACTGAAGAAATTGAAGGGACTTTTGGCATAAGTCCATTTTGCCCAGCTGAAAATAATAATAAAAAAGCAAACAAAGAAAACCACCCTCAAGATATTTCTTTGGTTTGAAGAGAAAGACTGATTTGTCAGCAGATGCACTCTCTCTGCCTGGTGCTTACACAGCTGATGACTATGCAGACATTTGGAAAGCAGCTGTTTCCTACTACAATGTTTTGTATTTGCTTGAGGCTTGTGACATACTAGGAATGGAAGAGCTGCACCAAAGGTGGTCCTGACTGACTGATAAGAAAAAGCAGCATTTAGAGCCCCTTCCATTTCTCTTTCTTCTCTGTCAAAGCCTGACCGCCTTCTGCTGAGGAAAATCAGAGTATACATGGAGCACTCTAAAATTTATACATACCTCTGACATATAATTGGTCCTGACTTCTTTCCATTCTTTGTAGCAAGTCTGAGTGAGGGTGCTGTGTCCACGCTATCTCAAAGCAATAATTATCCTGTTGCCTTAAAAAGATCTAGCTCTTCTCATTTCTAATTACAAGATTCTAGCCAACTCCTGAGCAAAATGGCTGAGGTATTTTGCCCTATTCTTTCCTGTTAAACTTTGGATTACTTGCTATTAATCTGACAAACTGCAGGTTCAATGGTCAAGGGAAAAAGTTTTGAATAGAGATGATCATTAGAATCTAGTGATAATTTTAAGTTTTTGGAATGGTACTATGGCTTCATTTCTTTTTACTTACTCGTCACAATGCTTTCAGTATTTTAAGCATTATACAAGGATCTTGCCTAACACATCCTAGAACACAGATGGAGGAAATACAGGATGACTTTGTGTGGAAGAGTTGAGGACAAAATTGAGGTTCAAGCTCAGAAACACATTGACCATGGAAGGGAAGGAGGAGGGAAAAACATGCCCAGCTCCATACTTTATAAATGTAGATGTCATTGTAGGAAGCTCAAACAATTTTAATATGAAGTTGTGGTTAAAAAAGTAAGCAAAAATGCTAAGAAACCTACTGAACAGAATGGATGGTAACATGGACAGCATAAATTAATTTCTTTGATAAGGAGCACTGTACACAGTAAATGCTTGGTGTTTCCTTACAAAATTACTGAAGATCTGAGGAGACTCAGATAAAGATAACAGAAGCAGAAGAACACATTAACTAACAAGAAATAAAACTGAGATTATTTTAGGCAACAATTAGGGCAGCATGAGGAAAGTATAAAAATAACACATAGCTTAAAAGAAAGCAATTTGAAAGCTTTTCTTCCTGTATCATAAAACAAAAAGGAGATAATCAGTGACGCTACAGAGTCACATTCAAGCCAGAAAACCTACAATGAGTTCTACAATTTAGGTGATGAAGCCAAATACCTTAAAAATTTTTAAGAGAATTTTACTACAGAAAGTTAGGATCATAGAATGGTTGAGGTTGGAAGGGACCTCTGGAGATCATCTAGTCCAACCTCCCTCCTCAAGCAGGGACCTTTAGAGCATATTGCCCAGGATCACATCCGGACGGGTTTTGAATATCTCCAGGGAAGGAGACTCCACCACCTCTCTGGGCAACCTGTGCCAGTGCTCTGTCACCCTCACA